GCTACAAGTAGTGCAGTGGGCCTTTAAAAGTAACGAATTAAATATACTAAAGTTAGAGTCAAATTACTCTTGGTAAAGTCTCGTGGAACGATCCTCCTTAGATTACAATTGGAATGTCGGAGATGGCGCTAAACATGCTATACACAGGAGAAAAGTGAAGAAGATATTCAATCTTAGACCTCTTTCTTTACAGCACTAACCATTATCTGGTTGAGAGAGCTAAGACGTTGCTCGATTTATTATAGTTTCGGGATGTTCAGGGACGATATATGGAAACGTTGTATCATCCGCTCAATCTGACTTGCGGGCATAGAAAAAATTAAAGGGATAGTTGAGTTCTGTTGCAGAGGGCGCTACACAAAATAATTTTTTGTGAGATAATGAAAAACTGAGTGTCAAATTTGAAAGAACATAATATTCAAATGACAAATTCATCTTTGTTTGATCAAAATCGGTTCATAGACGGCTGAAATATAACGATTCTAATACTTGTGTACCACCACAAAATATTAGATATTTTGAAAAATTTGAAAAAAACCGTTGAAAAAAAACGAAATAACGCCTTTTAGGTCGTATTGCAGCCAATGCCGATGTTGGCATTTTTGTTGGCATTTTCATGTTGCTAATATTACCCACAATTAGCAGGCTCATGTATTGTTATTTTTAATTAAATAATCAATTAACGGTCATCGTGTTTTTTTAAAGTGGAGCTGAATTTATATAATCGTATTGGCTAAATTTCACACATTTTGGGGTCTAAAATTACCTTAATAGAAATTTTAGGTTCTAAAAGGGCACTATAAATGTCATAGATTAAAGAATAAGAGCAATAACCATGCACTTTGAAGGCATTTGCGGTCTGAAAACAGAACTTAACTATCCCTTTAATAAGCATTTTTGCATAAAAAATGAAGTTTAAAAACAGTGAGTTTCTTTCCAGCATTGGGGTGCCCTGGAGTCACTTGGGTAACCTTTAAAAAAGTATAATATAAACAAATGATAGGCAATTTCTCTGTGCTTTTGTCGGGAAAAAAGTAATCAAGCACAAGGTCGTCTCTTTTTACGTTGGAGATGAGCAAAATAGCGAGTTTCAACTGCACTTCGGCCACTCTCGCAAGTCCTAACTCGTTGTATTATGGTCAGGAGGCTTCGGGGAGAGCGGCTATGGAATATAATAATCGTTAGCTTTATTCTGGTATTAAACTTGTTTTGATTGGTCGTATGTTTTTGTCGTAATTTACTCATTCAAATAATGGAACTACCTGCCGATGAAGCCAGTGGCCCGTGATCACAGAACTGTAAATATATGTAGAAGGCTCATAGTGGTTCGAAAAATATGGCCAGCGCTCGTACGTGATCACGTGATATCAGCCATCTTCGTTAGTCCTCTTGTTGTGTTCGCCATTTTTTTTCTCAACGAAAGGCCAGGCTGCAATACTTGAAATTTGTGAGCTAAAAAGATCGAGGACTAAGAAAAATGGCGGCGTGTGCACTCAAGCGTATCTCCCAGCAATTTCAACGGCCACAGGTCGATCTGTGCATTGTGAGTTGGGATGAGTGTTCTACGTAGTTTACAGTTCTGTGCCCGTGACCCCTGCACTCAACGCTTTGTGTTGTCGTCAACTTCTTGTATGAGACAAATCCAAGCAAATGTTTCCAACTATTCCAAAGGCATACAGGACAGGGGGCTGAGGGATGGAGCCCACCCCCCCCCCATATCCTTTTCGGACACGGACAACCGCAACCTGCTTCTGGCATTTGCGTAATAGTCAAATAGCCTACTATTCTGCCTATATTATGTTCATAGCTTATTCTGTATGTCCAGATTAAAAAATATCAAAAGAATACTTTAAAATAACTGAATTCAGTTGAAAATAACATTTATTTTCTTTGATTCTTTCATTATTTGTAATATCAACAAAAATATTTATAATCAATACAAAAGTTTATAAACACAAATGTAAAAGCAAATTTGAGAGCATGTTCAGTATTCACACAATAAAGAAGGCGTAAAGCCTTAAAGGGACTTGGTAACATTGTTTAGATGAGAGAAAATGGTGCTAAGGTAGTGACTTCAATGTAAAATGTACAATTGAAGATAATCTGAAAGCTAAAACAGACCATTATTAGTGATAAAAAATAGGAAAAACTGATCTGATCGATTCCATAATTCTCCCAACTATATTATTACAATTTGATTACATTTTCGGTGAATGTAAATCGTCACAAAGCAATGAATTGGCTCTATATACCATTTCAGACAATTAGGTGTTGAAAGATATTTAAAAGCCGATCTTATGTCTTATTTTAATGGGAAAACGGTTGGGAAAATTCAAAACTGGTTGGGAGAATTTAATGTTAGAGGGTGTCGCACAGTGACGCCTTCAACGACAACCATAAATATCTTTGTGGTCTGAGAATTTTGTCAGGATGTTTTGCATGTAGGAGGGTTAGTACAGTAAAAGATATATAGTAAGTTACATTTTTATACAAAAAGTAGAACAATACACTATAAATATCAGAACATCAGAGAAGAATAGACGACAAAAGGAAAGGAGGTTGGAAGCGTACTGCACACATTACATGATAGCTTAGGTACGACCAAACTGTATAAAATGGTATCATATATACGACAATCAAACTGGTAACATTGGCACACTAATGCAAAATGACTCATTTTCTTGAATCTGGCAATTTATATCAAAGCTAGAGACGTGTACATTGAATTATACAATGTTACATGAAAATAATAGAACAAATGTATACGCATTGGTACATTAATATCAAAGTTGCTTGATAAATATGAACCAGAAAGGCAGTGACCTTTATAAATGGCCGACCTAAAGAAGATATTATTAACAGTTAATAATAATAATAATAATAATAATATTGCTTATATAGCGCTTAATACGTCGGGAATATCCGAGTTAAATGTATGTATCAGATTACAATGACATAACAAAACACAACATTCCTACCACAAGAAAATACACACCACAGTGCTTGACATAATATTATAGATCAAGTATACGTTTAAAATTAAGATATAAAAAAATAAGATTAAAATTTTGCAAGAATAAATTTAAGTTGTTTTTGTTTTATTTACCTTTTATGTTTGTTTAGTTATTGGGTTTGAAATATTGGTTTATCAATATCTTGGTTGAAGCCGAGTTGGTAAACCCTCTGAAATATATTTCTTGAATATAATTCTTCAGTTTCTATTGATAAAATAGCAAAACGTGACGGAAAATCGAGTTTGTTACCCTGGCCACACAGACTCCTGAACTGGAACTAGAGATTTCTATTGACAATAAAAACAAAATCAACTGCCAGTTACCCATGTCCACTATTAAACCAAAAGTTGAAATACCACGTCAGCCCGATTTCAGATCCCCCAAATTCTTCAGATGCTTGAAGTTAAGAAGAAAATACACGTACATGTATAACGTCATGATCGTTATAGCAACTTTTATATTTCAAGTCTGTTAGATTAAGTATGAGCAATGGCATGAACAGATAGGTAATCAAGGTCATAGAAAATGACAATCTGAAAGAGACAAAGACGATGTTTAATTAAATCTTTAGTATACAATGACATAGAGTAGCTGTAAAATCACAACGTTTCAGATTTTTCTAAAGACTATTAAGACCAACTTCCCTCATTTCTGCTTTCATTGAAATGAGTTAAAATCCATTTTTCCTCTCCTGAGTTTAGATAGGATTGACACAAAGTTTTATCAGCAATATATCCATGACAGAAACTGAAGGAAATGGAAACACAGACAAAACGAAATATCTACAAAGAGTAAATAAATGAATCGGGTATTTCCGACGAGTTCCATGGCATTTCTCCAATGTACTATTAAATTTCATTTCAAGTAATTTTCATGTTTAAATTTGTATTACCTGAATGAACAATTTATTACATGTAAGCTATGTAGGAATTGCGTATCATTATTGTTGTTTGCATTTTATTTTCATGTATCAGGCATAAATGTTCATTCCTATTCCGCCCTATTTCTATTTCCTTCTTTTCTAAGCGCATAGGGACCTTCTTTATGTTAGTGATATGCGCTATACAAATAACGTTCATTATTATTATTATCATTACTTTGCCAGACGGAAAGTAAACATGGAAAACAGAAAACAAGATAGCACAGTCTATCAAATTAAAACATAAACACTCAATTTGGCATTTGGTGTTTCAATACTTTTACAACATATATCATACTGTGAATAGATCGACTTTCAAAACTCTTAATCTCTGTAGTACACAACTAAAAAAAATCATAAGAAGTAGAAGTTATTTTGACAAAGTGGCACTTCCTCTCATGATTCTGTGTAAGACATACAATTCATTTTGATCAAACCGACGGCGGACTGAAATGCATTATACAAAATAAAGAAAAGAAGAAAAAAAAATCGTCGAATATGAGAGAAATAAGATCTCATAGTTTCTATAACGAGGATGATTATCTTCTAAACTGTAAAGTTATCTTCGAGTCCATAATTTACATTGTGTCTACATTGTTTATATATTTACTCCAGCTACCAACAAGGTCAGATTCACATGGAGAGACATCATCAACAGTCAAACTTTGAAAGATAAACACATCTGAAGTATATTAAAAGAAAAGTTACTTTTTATATTTAAAAAGTTTCAATCATTTAAATTGATCAACATGATCTAGGAATGTCGTTTCTTAAACAGTCACCAAAACTCTATTTCACTTAGTTTAAGGTATAACTGATTCCACTGGATGTTATATACACTTCATGAAGTCACAGAAACAAAACGCCTGTTAGAAGCTTTTGAAAATGCGGGGCAGGGAGGGGTCATCTTTTAACAAAATATTATGTTACTCTTAATTTTTCAGCGTACCTGTTTTTACCAGAAAAAAGGGTCTATAGTCGCACACATCGCACCCCTCTCCTCTTCCTACCGGCCTAGAGACAGTGGTATCATACAATGTAAGAAATGGAGGAGTCATCCGTTATTTTTAGTGGAATATATAGAGTCTATCAGGAGTGCAGAAAGCGGTCTCTCCTGATCGGTACTGCTGGAGATAGTACCAGGTTCTCTCGGGCTTTTCAATCTTGTAATCACTCACGAGGTTCTGGACATGCTTTAGCTCGTTAGTGTACTCATCAATGCTGACCAAACCTATGTCGGAGTTTAACTTGGCTATCATGATTGTATTTCCTTGAGACACAGCAGCGATTGGGAAATTACCTAATCCCATTAATTTATATTTGATTACACCTTGTTTGTCAATCAGTTGTATTGTATCCGACGATGCGGTGATCAGGTAATCCTTATAACAAGTAATCTGCCTTATAGGACTATACCCACCACATGGTATTTCTCTGATCACCTTCCCCCCTGCTTGTGAGAATACCTGGATATTTTCAGCTTTCCAGTAGCTAACATAGATCTGATCATTACCGTCTACAGTGAGGTCAGCAAATCCACCTTTATCGGGACTCAGAGTCTCAAACTTTACATTTAACTTTGTGTACTCTGGTGTGTATAGTGTGATATCGTTTGAGCCATTAAGTATAACATACCGATCATCTGAGAGGAACCCTACTCCGCGAATTACAACATTCTTGAAAACTTTCTGCCGGTGCTGACCATCAGCAGAGAATATATCCAGGCCAGCTGTGTAACATCCCACTGCCATCCTACCCTCAGGTGTACCAACCATTGCATTCATGCAGTTCTTAGTAGGCAAAACAATGTTCTTTGCAACTGTATTTACGATCTTACCAAGAGCTAGCTCGTCTTTTTCAACGTCTCTCTTAAAACTGATACTATTTCCTTTCTTGCTCGATTGCCTCGGCTGGTTGTAGTCAGGATCTTCTTGTTTCAAAGCCTCTTGTAAGTCTTGACATAGAGTGTCGTGTGCAGCCAAAGCATCCATATCTAACGGTATTTTGGTCTTATTGGTTACCACATCAGCTATGGTGGTCAAGTGAGTGATGTGCTCCTGAGCTGATTTCTTCATTTCGTCCAGTTCTATCTCTACTACTTCGGTCCTACCCTTGACTTCACTAATGAGGAGTTCTTTCTTCTCTGCCAAGTGCCGGACTGATTCTTCATATGCTTTGTTGATATCTTTTGTACACTGCTTCTTAACATTGCTCACACGCTCCTTCTGCTCATAAATGAAATCAACGTATTTCTGAAAACAAGAGCGTTTCTTGTCCGCCTTGGATTTGAGATCCTCGATACTCTTCATATGGCTGTTTTCATAAACAACTGCCTCGATGACCCGGTGCCTTTCGTTTGTATGATCCATGACAACACACCTGTAGCAGGCAAATCTCCTGCAGTCAAAACAGAAGCACTCCTCATCCTCTTTTGGGTGTTTTCTACATTTACGGTACCTACGTACTGACACCTTCCCTGATAGAATCTCACTCATGGCTAAGACCTTATGACTGATGCAGTCTGGCATCTGAGAATGTTTGTTCTGGCACGTGGTACAGAAATACTTGCCACAGTCCTGACAGTAGACAACATCTTGGGGTTTGTTCTCGGATTCACAATTCGTGCAAAACTGATATTGATTCTTCACATCCTTTATGAGAGAATTCAAAGCTAGATTTGTCGGTAATTTGCTGACATCTTGGTTTGAGACCAGGGTTTCAGCTCTGCAGACAGGGCATCGGAGCATCTGGTCGTTACCATGGCATTCCAATATGTTTTCCAGACAGGCCTTGCAGTAGGTGTGAGAACAAGACAGGAATTTGGGATCGGTGAAGGTATTCAGACATACAGGACACTCCAGACTCTGAGCAATAACACTCTTTAATGCTTCAGCCATGATTCGAATTCTAAGGGAATACCAGATAAAGGAAAAGCAAAAAATAAAGATTAGTGTAGCATTGATTCATCTGATGTCATTAAAGTGGAGAGCTTATGATGCTCCTCATGCTTTTACCCTTCAGAATATGACGCGCACAATATTCCGTCATATCTTGAGAAAAAATTAATACATGTTATTCATCAATTAACTGTTGTAATGAATAACAAACAATTTAAACAAAAAGTTTCCCTTGACGCTTTTCAGTCAATGTACAGTATAATAACAATTACAAAAATAATACTTATAATAATAACAGTATTATCATAATAGTTATAATAATGATAATAATACATTTTCTGCGTGGATAGCCTCATCAGTATCAATGTTGTTCTCATTAAGGGCCCTGCAATCATATTGTTACCCCGGCTTAAGCTAGCTTCCATGATGGGGAACTCATAAGCATTCACGGAATTTCTTCCTACCGGGTACCCATTCGCTATACATGGGTGGAGAGTGACAAATGTAGAGTACTGTCTTGCCAAAGGACATACTACTACTAGGGACTTCTAGATTTGCGTGGATTGCTACGTGTGACGTCCTTTTAAGGCACTGGCAGTGTCTTAAAAGTAGGCAACATTTCTTATTAATTCTTTAATCTGATGAAGTATCACAAGCAGTACTATGTACTTATACTTATGCACACTGGAATATACTATTTTTTTTTTAATCTTCAGGTTTTGATAGAAAGGACATTATAGATTGTTCTGGTTTGCAGAAACACTAGCTATTATGTTTTAGCCATGTGTTAAGAATCACATAATAACCTGAAATATTTACCATGTGCATTCATATCTACATCACATCTAATAACAATAATTCATGACGAAATTTTTATATAAATCACTATAACATACCATCATCGTCGTTTTTTCCACAGGATAAATGAGCAGTAAGAAGTAATGTTTTTTGGGGGGCCTGAGCTCAATCGCTCTTCATTTATCACCTCAAAGATATTTAGCCCGAGACCCACATATTTCAGCAAAAGGAAAATTAAGATTTTTTTAACCAGATTATCCAGATACAAACAAAGCCTCAGAATAAATTGGCTTTAGTTATTGCGACATTATAGTATAGACTGGTGTTAGTGACGGGCTGGGATACGAAACCTCAACTCTTGGATTGAGATTCAAAAAAGTGAATGAACCACTCTACTATACTTCCACTACTACTACCCCTATTCTAATCACGTAAGCTGAAATGTTTCCAATATGTATTCATATGTACATAACATGTAACCATAATAGTTTATAATACGCTTGATACTCTAATCACAATAACATGACAAATTCGTCACCCCCCCCCCCCCCCCAAGAATAACAAATACTGAGAAGTTATACGTATAAACGATATCAATGTGATCACAAGTTTCTAATGCGGCAAATATTACTTCCGGGTTCACGATTAAGGACATTAAACTTTGATGGTCTCCATTCAAAGGTTTGTTTCGTTTTCTTTTTGCAACCTGTTTCGTCATCGTTAACCAAACTGATTCTAAACAAACGCCATTCTTATATTGGTCTTAGCTCGATCGTTCTCCATTAATCACCTCAAAGCCATTTAGACCACTGATTTCTACACCATGTAGCGAAGGGTTCTGTGATCTAGACTTAATCTTATTATTTCAGTCTAAAGAAAACTATGATTTTATAAACCAGATACAAACATATGAAGTGTCTGGGAGTCTGCCTAATTCATTATATATACGTCCATGTAAAACGAAAGTATTGACAAGTGTCATTACATTTATTATGAAAATGACAGAAACATTTGAAATCACTCACCTCTTTTTCCGTCACTATACGTGTCGGTCTAGGCGTTATATCAAACCAGTAGACATGTATACCCTTTGCTTTAACGATGTAGTGGTGCACTGATCATAAATAGTTTTCTATACATGTATGTATTTGGTGTGGCAGTCTATTTTTAGGTACTGGGAATTTCCACCGACCTTTGACAAACAAGCAGATTGAGGTTTATATCGTCCTAAAAGTGATTGCCCGATAAAAGTTCGATCCCATTTTGTCAGGTGTCTGTAGAACAAACATATTCCCGTGTCAAACTTGAATTCTCTTCCTGTTAGCCCCCCCCCCCCCACTTCAAAAACTTCTAAATAAGAGTCCAATTACTAAAGCCAAAGCCCCCCCCCCCCCCATCCAGTGTTATTTAAGGTATGCGTATGCATGTTCCCTCCTTTTGAAAACACCCCCCTACATTAAGTCAGGGGTGTAAAGTCAATACGGGCCGATTTTGTGTGTGTTACGAGCCCGACTTTGCTGCTTGAAAAGTACCCCTTTACCGGACATTTTGGGAACATGAATGCGATCCCTCCGTTCCCGGAGGCGTCATTTTCTTCTGCGGCACAGATTGGTGTGTTTTTTAAAAAGGGGTCTTGATTTAAACCTAACCCTAACCCTAAACTTTCCCATAGGCTCAACACGCACCTAACCCCAATCTGTGCCGCCGAAAAAAATAACGCTCCCCGGAGTGGGGGGGGGGGGGGTCAAAGTCTCGTGGAAAGGTCGTTCTTCGAGATTACAATTGGATTGTCGGAGATGGCGCTAAACATGCTAATCATATCTGGAAAGGAGAAAAGTAAAGAAGGTATTCAATCTTAGACATTTACCTTTATTGCACTTTTTTGACTCGAGGTAGAAGCCTCAAAGTCCTCTATCTCCATCCTGTTTCTCTTATTTTTCTGCCTTAAAAAAATGATATTATTCTCTTGCACAAAAGCTCTTTCAACTTTGCGATAGATGATTTTGATGAAAAATTCAGACTGAATTCGAGGTGAATCAAAATGTAATTGGTAAGCAAAATAAAAGTATTGACAATACCCCCATGAACAATAGGATGGCTACCTTCTTTCTGTATTATAAGGCCCTTAGAAAATAGACCTCCCTCACCATTTTGTATACGTATATTTTGTTATCATCGTCACATATTTTACACACCAGTATCTTAAAAAGTTTGCACACTCTTCACTGCTTGCTGCAATGGTGCAGAAACCGAACTCTTGTTTAAAATTATAGAAGAGGTGACTCAAATTGTGCCCTCTTCCAAAAATGAAACTAAAACGAAGACGTTGGTCAGTGGTTACTGCCTGATAGCACCAGTTTTACACATGGTGCTTCACAGTGAACACATATTCAAGGTTTCAAGGATTTATTATTTTTCCACATAATATAACATGATCAAATGGATTGTATTTTTGAGACCAGCCTCTTCATTTCATTTCAGGTAAGAAAATTAAACATTTAATCTCTTTCGGTTCTGTTTGTTAAGTTGATTATTATTATTCCATTGATATATTATATGATTGTGCTGTAACCCATGATTGTTTGATGATGAAGTGAATGCGATTAGTGATATTAGAACCAATGATGTGTATATTATTAAAACAAATTTATCATTTTAGGGATGCAGGCTTAACATAAACACGTCTATATTGTATGGCGTTAGTTATGTATATGAAGCATTTAGATGATAATATGGTCGTATTATTATATAGTAGAAGTAATAAATCTGTGTAAATATAATACATTTGTACATGAGAATAGTATAATACATGAATATACATTGGTACACAGATATCAAATTTGCATTAAAAGTGTCATCATGGCCGAAGAAAGAATCGGTATATAAAACCCACGAAGGAGCATTATCAACAACAACAAATTACTGTTAGTGTAATAACACCTAGTTTGGACACAAAACGTGTTATAGCGCTGCGCTCTTGAGACGAGGAGTTACAGATTGAAACATATTCCACAGAGGAAAGCCATAACGGAAATGACGGAGACATTATATACGAAGGGAAACGCTAAACTTGTGGCGGCACAGGCGTTTCGGGTCTTTTTCACAGAGAAACCACAAAATAACCCACATGTTCCAACTGATACCTAAAACCATGTCCGATACAGCTTAGACTCTGGTAGAGGATTCGCATGTACTCCTGGAGCTCGTGTTGGTGTCTGATGACAACTAGGACAATGGCATTCAAAATCACACAGAGGAAAATGATTAATATCTTATAGATTACAGGCTCTTTGTCAGGACTAACAATGATTGTATGGTTTACCATGTTCAAAGCTTCCGTCATCATGGTACTAGCCATCTTACAGGACAAACCTTTAGATACTCGATCAACACGATCTAAATTTCGTGCGAGTTCTTATAAAACCGAATGACGGTTAGCCCATATATAAGGGCTGTACAAACTGCCTATTTATTTCAAATTCAACACATCATGAACGCCTTTTTTTCTTCTTTGAAGCCAAGCAGTTTCTGAGACATGTCGAGCGTGAAAAGCAGCTAATGGAAGTGTGATAGAAAAGTTAGTGCTGGTGTTTTTTTGTATGTTTTTTCGTGATGACGATTGTCAACATGAATAGTAGGCTACACTATTATTGGGTCCGTAAATTAAGATGTCGTTTACTTACAATATGTGAGTGAAAGGCTTTAGGAAGTTCTTGTCAAAATATGAGACCATTCAATACACCAATGGAGTTACAAGAACGACCGTCGTGTGTGCCTGAATAAAGGTGGTCTCCCAAGACACGACTGTGGCGGTACAAAGTGCTGCCATGTTTTTTCATCTTTTTTCTTCTTTGTTGGTTTTCCAGGGCTTTATTTGTCGGGAGGTGATTGTCCAAGGGGTAATTGTCCTGATACGGCCTATTCCGTAAAAGAAAATGAAAAAAAGTAAAAAAAGTGGAAAATAATCACTATACCTGAGCATGATATTGTCATGCAATCTTTACAGGTAGGTGGTCTGGCAAAATTTCAAGAGTTTCCAAGAGCCAAGAAGAAGGTAGATGTATCAAAATTAATGTTGGACGAAATAGATTGCCAAAGTGCTTATTTAACCATTAATTATTGAAACGGGAAGGTACTAATGACGCTTTTACAAAATGAATTCATGGTTAGCACTAGACAAGCCAGTAGCCGTTACAAGAAGGGGCAGAATGTTTTTTTTTAATCCCTTGGATATAGCATTATTGTATGATCCAAATTGACAGCGAACAACGAAAAAGTTCAGTTAGCGTTTAGCCCTATAGACAGATTACTTGTTGACAGACCACCGTGTTTTTAAGGGGGTGGACGATTCCAACGTTTACTCTTAAAGAAGAATATAACTTCAACAGTAAAACTATTCTTAAAGAAAGCATAAAATTAGAAAAGTAGATTAATGAAAGTTTGAAATAATATCGGACAAAAATTGAGAAAGTTATGAAATTTTGAAAGTTGTATGGGCACTTCAAATTGGCAGAATCGGCAGTGTCACTGTGTCGAAGAACTCGACAAATTTCCAATTTATTTCGACACACAATTGTTCAAAATATATGAGTCGGCAAGGTCTTTTCTTCTAGATAACTTTTGATAATCTGCTACCCACTATATATTTTGAGACGTGCCCCAAAGAAGAAGGGAACGCGCTTAGGAGAAAAACAAAAATGTATTACATTATGGTACACGAAAAACGGGAGAGTTGTCCGTGAATGCGTTTTAGTCCACTGACCAATTATCATTTTGCAATTCGCATAGATTATAGTGATCTCATCTTTGAAACACTCATAACTTTTTATTATTGGACCGATTTATTTTCAAGCTGTGGAACGCTATACAACTCTATACCTTTGTCATTCATGTGGCTATTAGGGCTATGATTATTGAAATATTTTCGTTTACCAAATTAGAAGACTAGTATACACATCTTGTACATTTCATATAACCTTCTTAACAAAATAATGTTATCATGTCAAGATCCATCATCAATTATCAGGTTATTCGGCAGTAACTGAGGTACTATTTTTTCAGCGTTTCAATGTTTCAACAAACTTGATACAAATTGGTGTTTAATGCCAATTTCTTGGACAACACCGAAAAGCTACCTTTAAAAAAAATTCAACCATCAGCTTTCTCGTGGGCATTTCATGTTTTCATCGTTCTCGATCGTTTGTAATAAACCTCTCAATCTCTTAATGTAATCTAATCAATTTCTCAGACACTTCTTAAAAGCCACGAAACACATTCTTCTTGCCTCAGAGTTTGTTAGGAGGTAAATGATAGGCTGTACCCATGGAAAGCACCCTGAGGCAACGGTGTCACATAGTAAATTATATATATCCAGACCATACAGAAAGTGGACGTCGTTAGTAGAATTGTGGCAAATCCTTTCATCCCTCTTCTCCGTGGTCGATCACGGTTAATGTTGAGATCAAGTACGACATCGATTTGAAGATTCCCTGGCAATTTGATAGGATCGTCATCTTTAGAATTGCGTGGATTAATGTCTGCACAATTGATTCGGATAGTATGGAGAGGCTGCCCACAAGGTCCCCCAATAAACAAAACACTAAAAAGTAACCTCTTTTGGGAGTGTATTTTAAGTGATTTTAAAGTATGGTGCCCTTTGAACTAAATTTAAACGTTATCGACACGTGCTTTCATTTAAAAAAAAAAAGGTACTCCTGTTCACGTTTTGATCTAACCTAAAAACCACCAATTTATCACGCGACTGGAGTAACATGATTCCACTTACCTCTGTAAATCACGTGTTTATGACCAAATAACCACTTGACCAAGCAACGAGTTTTTTGTCCGTTAACCGATGGTGGTGATAACTAAGTAATTATTCGGTCTTGTAAGCACCTTAATCGATTGGTTTCACAGGTTATCCAAGGTTGATGGTAATAATCACGTTACTTACACCGGCTAATCGTCTTATTGTTCTGTCCGTGAATCTCTGGTTATATTAAATTAGTAATTCTGAGGTGTCTTACACAACTCTTTAAATGGTTTCAAAGTTACCATAACTTTCTTGGTTATGATCACGTAGCTAAAACTGATTACTAATCTAAGCTGTGTATCCGTGATATTTAGGTGTGAAAAATTAGTAATTATTAGGTGTCTTAAAACACCTATTTAAATGGTAGTCAAAGTTGCCAGCAGTTCCGCGGTGATGATCTTGTGACTCGAAC